CTCCGTGTGCCAGGCAACCTGCTGCTTTTGGGGAGAAAGGAGGGAAATAATGATAATTAAATAAATACAAAGCAAAACGGCGCAAAATCTCAGTGGAGGATCAAATAACTCCTTCTAACTCCTTTCCCGTGGAGTTAAACCGGCGAACCCCACGCCACCAGGAAGCACTGGGATAAGAAACAAGAGCAGAACAGCAGGATTTAGCGGAAGGCGGTTCCAGGCCCGACCCTTCAGGAAGGACCAAGGTTGGACCCGGGAGGCTCCCTGGCTGTGCTAGGCCGGGTGCCCCGAGATCAACAGTTTAAACTTGGCGGTGTCAGGAAGAAAATAACCGCTTTGAGGTAGCTAGTGCTGAAGCGCTCTGCCAAGGATGTACGATTTTCCTTAAGCTGCTGCCATGCAAAATTTAATACTCCAGCGGACAGTTTTCCAGTCCTTGCATTTACCACCCCTCACATCCTCATGATAGAAGACTTTTTATCTCTGTGTTTGCCAGTTTTAAGCAGGCAAAGCGTAGGAAGCTGCAGCCCCCTTCACCTTGGCGTTACAGGCCCGACGCAGGAATTGGGGAGTACAGCGGGTTGTGTGGGACAGAGGGCTGGGGACGCCTGGAGGGCCGAGGAGTTCAGTGACACAGGAGAATATCGGGCCACATGCTTAACTTTTTCCGTGAGATTGGTTACAAAACTCCTATAGGTGTACATGTATTACATAATTACTTAATACCAATTACATAATTCACCGCTTCCATATCAGTGCCATCTGTAGAGTTAGTTAGACCTTCAAAAACACAGCCACACCCAAGTATAAATAAAATCAGACACATAAATTTATCCTCCCTCTGTTTACAGGATCTCTCGTACAAAACTGTTGCACTTTGTCTAGTTCGTATGGATATCAGAAATGCTGAGGGAAGAAAGGAGGATATGGAGCTAGACAAAGAGAAAACTAAAATAAACTCCTGCCTTGTCAGTTGCTTGGCCATAAAATTCATGCAATGCACGTCAATCATCCTAGAAGCTAAACGTCAACAAAGCGGACAGATGTTAGTTAAATTCCTCTATTTTTGCGATACAACTTCCACTCTTTAAGTTCCTAATTATCCACAGAGAGAGAGTATCTTTTTTCACCCTTCCGTTTTCTTCACTTCCCCTCCTTCTTCCTGCTTTGTAAGAATTCATATACAGAAGAGAGTTTTATCCTACTAGCAAAGATCTTTCCCGGCAGCTGCTTAGTCATGTGCATAAGTTCTTCTTTATACGTTGTGAATCTGTTTAGGTCCTTTGCTTTATTAGGAAGGATGTATTTTGTAAGATACAGTAAGAAGGTGTGACTATATATGCTGAGTGTATTCAGCGTGTTTGCAAATAGCTTCTTTTGGCTACCAAAAGTAGCAGCAGCTGTGACAACGTGACAGCACGAGCACTAGCATAGATGAGCGATCCGTGTGCGTGCTGTGTACCAGCAGCACCATCAAGGGTGGAAGATGACCCGTGGTGGCACACGCCTGCTTTTGCACCTCCATCCTCTTCTGCATCCAATCCAGCGGATCAAAGGTCCTTGGAGAGCTGCACTGTGATTGCCAGAACGTGCTGGAGCTTCTGGTGCCGTTTACATTAAAGAAGCAGTAACACACGTATTACTGCCACAAATACCGCTTTGCCAGGAGAGTAATCTTTGCCCAAATCTGCTGCTATGGCCTGCTGCAAATGGTCTTTTCTCCCAAGATTTTCAACACTGATTGCTTCTACATCCAAATTAATACGATTAACCTACCTGCTTTCCAGTGATGATCAAGAAGATGCATCCTCAGCTTGTTTGTAAAGTTCCAGGATTGTCTTACTGCTGTGAGATATCTTTCTGCTTCCTGTCTTTAGCAAATTTCTTTCACTGAAAGAAATTGCTTCCTGAACACGGCACTTGAAAGTACTAGCCACTCTTTGCAAACCAGGAGACACTCTTTAGGCCCTAAGTCTTCCAAACACATCTGTAAGTATAGTTTTCCCAGAAATTACATGCAGGTACCTTTTAATTTGTCTTTAAAAAAAGAAGATGCTTCATATTTGTTGACCTTATCTGGCATCAGTGCCAGTATTAGATAAGATTTAAGCCTAAAGAGCTGCTGATTTAAAAACAAGCAAGAGACCCCCCCTCCAAACCAGCCTCCTACCCTCAACACTCTGGCTGTTCTTGAGTAGGATTTGTGCCTGTAAACAAAATACTCATTCCACCAGACCTGGTCCAGTGCCCACGTTAGGTGACAGTTACGAATTTAACAGAGCCCATTTTCAAGATTCAGGTTGTGTATCTTAACATCTCATTTCAACTAGTGGTGATTCACAGTAGTCACAGTATATTTAAAGAAAACACTTTTTCCTTGCTGTGTTTTTGTAACATTTAGAAGCTCTTCTAAAGAAGCTTTTTGGTTTGTTTGTTTTTTAAGCAGTGAAACCTTAAATACCAAATCAAGTAGCCTTTTTATTTATTTATTTATTTTGATTTTTGACACAAGAAATACATATCAAATATCCTTATCATTTAACCCGGCACTAAACTGGTATTAGTTTCTTCTCACTTTTCTAAACTACCCACTTACGCCACCTAATTTTTCTGTTTCTGTTCTTTTACACTTCACTTACTTTTCCAACATTTCCTGAAAAGCTCAAAGATCACTGCACTGAGTACAATATAACAACCAAGGCCTTGCAAACATCTTTCTTGCTTTCTCTGACAAAAATCTTTGCTTTTCTAGAAATTGCTGTGGGATCCGCTACAGCAGAGTCGGTAAGAGCAAGGAGGGAATGAACAAACCAGAGTTGTGTCATTTCTACTGCAAAAAGCGGAAGAAAAGAGAAAGGTTTGGTTCATGTTTATAGGAATTAAAAATAGTGGCAAGCCTCTTATCTGTTTAGCTTGTGGACTTCTTTGTTATACATCACTTTAAATGTGCTGCTTGCTTAGGTCTTGTCTCATGCAGAATTGATCAGAAGTTATTTCTAAATATTTGCAACTGTAGATTATTATTATCACAGTAAAATACAGGTTTTTGCTAAGTTTAAATGCCCCTATTCTGAAAATACTTTGAACACAGGGAGATCTATTAAGCACGAGCATGGAAACACGGAAAAAAAAAAGGGAAGAAACCATCTATGCAAGAACACTAGTGGCTAATTAAATAATATGGTTAGATTTGGCCAGCTAAGTGCTTTTTTCCCCAAAAAACATATTTATAAACTTGTTAAATTATTTATGGAATCCCTTGAAAAGTACATACATACCTTGGTTTAATGTAAATGATTATTTGCAAGCTAAGATGAAATAAAACAGCTTTAACCGGTACAAGTGTGTACATAAATTTACT